CTTTAGAGCTACTGAAATGGATGTAAATAATCACACTCTGCACTCCTTAGCTATGTCAAAACTGAAGTGGGAGCTTCAGCTCTTTTTCCAGCTCTTGGATGTGGCTGGAGTGTGCTCCTATACATTTTGTCATACGAAATGAAATACGGGCATTCTTGAAGTTCCCCGTTTCTTACTTTGCACTGGAGGAAAGACTAAGTAGGCAGGTGTTCTTCCCATAGCACACTCAATCACAGCATACTTCTGCCAGGTCTCTGATTTGGACAATTAAGGGATCAGAAACCCGGGATGCAACATGGTGTGTGGTGCATGTCTGCATGAAACATAAAAAGTAGTCCCTTTGGCTAGCATCTTATTTAGGGTTTGCATTTCTCCCGTGGTTTCCCAATTGCAGACAGTTGCCCCGTGCACTTTCTTATCATCCGACAAAAAAGGAGCTTATGATAAATATCCTATGGCCTTGACGTGCTGGTCTGGGAGCCAGGATGTGATGTGAGTCTGTCTTGCCTTTTCCAGTCATTTGTGCTAAAATTTCTGTGTGCTTTATAAGAGGTGTATGCACCAAAGCCTCCCATCTCCTCTTCTGAAGGGACAGTTTGCAGAGAATGCTGCGCAGATGTACTTGGTGCTCCTGTCTCACAGGCATAAGAACAGGCAGGCTCAGGCCTGGGCTGAAACCTGGGAACAGGGATTCCTCCCATTCTCCTCCTGCCTCACACACATTGCTTGCTGTATTCCCATCTGGCACCTAGCCTTTGCAGGGAGAGGGAAGTCCTAATGCATTATCGGGGGCAAAGAAGTCTGCAGGGATATGCATGGAGCACCTTGATTCTTGCAATTTATTTGTTTTTAAGTTTGTTGAAAGAACAAATGTAATGTCCAAAAAAGCAATAAAAAACCCCTCAGGAAATACTTGGGCTGGGTGCCCACCTTGGCGCTTTTAACAGTCTGCTTTGTGTTTCAGGGGTGAATTTCCTGGGCAAGGCAAAAGTTGGGGGGCAGGCAGGATGAGACTTTATTCCCCACTAGCACCAACCGGATCAGGATGTAAAGCTGAGCATATGATGGAGGAGAGTAGGATGCAGCTGTACTTGGTGCAGCATGGCTGCATTGGTCTGCTTTATGTTCAATGGCAAATTTAGCAAAGAGGTTGAGGACTGCATGAACTTTGCAAATTCAACAGAAAGCTCTTGAGCATCAAAATTGGCTGAGAGAGACTGGCAGGCAGGACATCTTGTTTCTGAATAAAAAGCAAGCCCGATCACAAAGCTGTGGCCTTTCACCGTTGTTCATGAATGTGTTAATGGGCATTTCTGATTCTGTGTAAGCTAATTCACAAATTGCATCAAGTTGGGTGAGAATTTGCCTGCAGTAGGATTTTGTAGCCCCAAGTGCTGGCTGTTGAAAGTTCATTATCTCTAATCTGAAGAAGAGCTTGAAATGCCAGCCCTTTCCATTCAGCTAATTTATTGACATTAAGTACAATATACCTCTCCAACTTACATTGTTGTACTGCAGCAACCGAAATGAAATGAAGTGAGCACAGTTTTCGACATCTCTATTTATACACTACACTTGTATAGGGTTCTATAAAATTCCATAATCTTCATTTTAAGTAAGTTCAAAAATATTAGTTTACCAGATGCAGAAATCACTGTAACTGGTATAAATCTGGAAAACTTACGTATATCTTTCCTTATGAGGAAAGCACACAAATCATGTAGGATGGTACAAACAAGAAAATCTCTGCTAAACAGTTGGGGGGGGGGAGGGGAAGATTTTGCAAAATAAAGGCCATTTGAAGTTTAGTCTTGACATAAACACTCAAGTGTCAGGGCAATCTAGCTCCTAAGCTAGACCATTCCTCAGAAAATACCTTTCATCCTCACATACCTGTAAATAAAGATACATAACCACCTACTACTGTTTAACATAAAACAACTGAAACATTTTGCATTCATTAGAAGCTCAGCTGATAGCTTGAAAGGAAACATACACTTTTTTAGGCACAAAGTATCCTCAATTGTTAAGCTATATCTCCATGGTAAAATAATGGTGTGCTTTCAGCTTGTGCAGGCAGGTCTCTCCTAGCTGTGTTCTGGTTACGCACATCCTCAGTACCACATAGAGGGGCGGTGGGCTAGCCCGAGTGAGGAATGGGCACGGTCAGGGTTGGGCTTGTTCTCTGCTCCTTGGCAGGCTATTTTAGAAGATGTGCCTGGGGCTACAGTGGATATGTTTGCTGATACTGCTGGCCAGGTTGAATGGGAAGTCCTCCACTTGCAATCTTGGCCCATCTTCCTTCCTTAAGTGAGTGGTTCTCCGTGGATGTGGTCACTGATGCATTTGCAGCTTTTGATAAGATTCGTAGATGTGTTGCTAATTGCAGGCTCCAACTGAGGCTTTTCTCACAGGTCGGGCGTTCAGAGCAGCTCTGTCCAGTGGGAATGCTCTTATGTTTCTCGTAGGTGTCACCCCTTGTCTTCCCCATGGTCCAGGTGCCACTGGAGTCACTCACCTCCAAGCAGCTGCCTGCTGTCATCAGTTACACAGCTGGAACAGCTGGGGGTGCCCCAGCATGGAAGGGTGCCTGATGGGACCAGGGAGCTTACCTGTGCAGAGCCTCACTCAGGAGGTTGGGTTTTCTTGGCATATATTAAAATATAAAGTATTTATCTCCTCTGGTTACGGGGGACTTTGCTACCCCTCTGTCACATTTGGCTGAAATTGTCCAGGAGGTTCATCAGTCATGGAAAAGGAAAGGGAATGTGTGTGCACACACAAGTCTCATTTCTTAAGAGAAACCCTCCCTCCCATCCAAACAATCTTAATGAATAGAGAAGTTTTCTTAAAGGGAGCACAGTTGTTTTGGCTGACTGCTTTGGATATAATCTTTGAAATGAGTGACTATGTTAAATCATGGTAATTAGGTCTGACCATTAACCTCCCACAGAGCTGATTACAGGGATGGGGGTGATGAGGAAGTTTTTTATTTTTCTTAGTGCTATTGTTTCAGTCTGTTTGCAGAGTAAACACAATGAGTGTGTCGGTTGATTATGCTGCAGACCATCTCTCAAGCCAGAGGAGACGGATATTTAGTTTTTAAACCTGAAAACCTGGGTTTTGGAGAAAGCGTGCTCTGGGGAGATGTTGGGAAGGCTCTAGGTCTATGCACCTGTGCCTTTTCAGCCATCCCAACTGTTTACTTACTGAGTGGCTGTTCCTAGAGCATTTATCCCCTTTACTTTAGCTTCTCCCCAACACAACCGTATACAACACCTCTGAAGGACAGCACTCTCTTCATTGCTTTAAGACTGTCTTGACTAAGTTAGAGCAGCAGAGATTGACTCCTCCCTTCCAGCATTTCTGCAGACAAGCACGGCCCAATGCTTAAAAGGTGTGTTTTTAAAGGGCATCTCGCAGTCTGCCTGTAGTGCTCATAAATCAGTTATGACTATCGCACAGCTATGAGCACTCTGAGTAACAAAAGACAGTTATTGATTGTAAGGGAAGATTGCTACAGGAAGGAGAGCGAGAGGTATTTTGTGCATTGCAGTGGGCAGCCGCCCACGTGGTGAAACAGCCCGGGTTTAGCTGAAGGGGAGCTTTGTTGAGGAAAGGAGAATCCTTGCCTGGAATAATTGCCTCTGAGCCAGGGAGAATTAGCTACTCCATAGTGGGAACAGGCCCTCAGCTACCTCTGGCACAAACAGCGGAGCTGTTGCAAATCTGATTTGAGTCGCTAACAATAAGGTATTGAAAAGGCAGGCGGACCTAGCAGTTCTCTCTGTCTTTCCTTGGGTTCCTAATTTATGCTTCAGTTTTGCTTGCTGAAGCAAACCCGTAACAACACAAATGTGTATGTGGAATAAAGAAGGACAAAAATCTTTAGAAGAGACAGTGAAAGGCGAGGCAGAAAGGCCCTCGGAAAAGAAAGGAAGCTTCTAAAAATCCAGATATTTTAGATGAAAATATAATCTGAACTGTAATTGTTGGCTGTATTTTGTGCTATGCGAGGCTACGAAATGCTCTCTTCCCCCACAGAGCTCATAAAACTGTGCTCTGTGTACCAGATGGATTATTTTGTTTTTCATTAAATAAAGAAACTTGTAAACGGTGCTCTGTACCATAGAGATGATAATCTCCACCATCCCCCTCCTCTTCCTTAAACACCGGAGCACGCACTTTGCAGGTTGCAGTGCGCTCAGGCAGCGGTGGAGCCCCGGGTGAAGCCCCAGCCTGCCCGTCACTGCGGCTTGGAGGCCAGGCAAGACACGCTCCCGGTGTCCGAGAGCATTTACCACGTGGGTTCAGTTGCGCTTTTATCAAATCCTATTTCTGAAATGAAATAAAAGGCTCAGTTGCACAGTGTTTGAATGCCACTCTCAGTGCAACAGTGGCAGTTGGTTGGGTTAGGTCTGTGGAGCTGGCCACCGCTGCAGGTAGGGGAGAGCAAAAACAGGAGGCTGAATAATGAACAGTTTTAATGTAGAAGATAGCAAGAAATGTTTTATGAAGGTCACCGGGAATAACTGCTAGTTTCGCAGTTAAGTCAGTATATTCAGTTATTCTGCCATCTTTGCAGCTTTCAAATTTGTAAGGTGTAATGTGTTAAAAGTTTCATTGTGATCCTTGTAACTTGAGCCACAATTCTTGACAGTGCTCTTGCAATGAGCAATAAGCAGCACACCCGTCGCTCCACTGTTTCCCTGCCTAATCTGTTTGCCTACTATCTTGTGTAATAGGAATGCTACTTTTTTTTCCCCCTCTAGCTCTTTTATCCATGAGTTTATTGAACATTTTACAAAAGCAGGTACTATTATCTTCATTTATGTTTCTATTATACTGGAAATTTCAGCCATAGCTGTGGTGCAGCAGCCTCTCCCATGATACACACAGGCACTGGTCAGCTTGTACCACTTTCAGGCTGGAGGAAACTGCTCTGCTGCAAATCCCACTTACTAATGGTCTTGTGTGTATTGCCATGGGTCTGTAACTAGATGTGGTGAGTGATAAAGTGGGAATTGAGACCAAGTATGTTGACATCTTCTGCTTCATCCACTGGACCCATTGCTCATGTCATGTTACAGAAAACCTCTGTGAAATTACGGACAAACTGCATTCCAAAAGTAGAGAATAGCTCAATTATAAGGTGTACCCAGTTATTAAATACTGAACTATACTCGGTTTAGGTGAACACTAGATTAGTATTAGATACTTTTTCTTTTTTTTTCATTCATGTCTTCTTATTATAACTGATTTCAGTTAAATGTATTTTTCCCTAATCAAATGTACATCTAGCAAAAATACTGGGGCAAAATGTTTTTATATTGTTACTTTCCTTTTTTCCAAATAGTTTTAAAGTATTTTGATAGCTCTATCTGTATACTAGTAAAAATACATTTTAATTATTATCACAAGATCTGCACACATTAATTTTTTTTTTTTTGTTAAGTACTGAAGGCACCTAATACTGGTAACTATTTATGTCACCAAGTTTAATACAGAGATGCTTGCTTGATGTAATCATATCACTTTCACTGAGCTATGTGATGTTCTTTAACATGCCTTGTGAATAAAGGAATCCCTTCTGGATCACCATTTTGTTCTTCCTGTCTATGCAGTAACAAGCGACTTGTGGCCTTAGTGCCAAATGACACTTCATTCAACACCAGACGAGCCTACACCAGCGAAGATGAAGCCTGGAAGTCGTATTTGGAGAATCCCCTAACAGCAGCCACCAAGGCTATGATGAGCATAAATGGTGATGAGGACAGTGCTGCTGCTCTTGGCCTACTGTATGACTATTATAAAGTAGGTAACTCCATCGTTATTCCTCCCTGCTGCACTAGCAGGGGACTACTCTAAGAGGCATCAAAAGAGCCAGTTTTCAAAGACAGAAGTCGCTGCATCTTGTTTTCTCTCTGATACTTGTATCAAGCACCCTTTCTGTTTTAGGGGAAGCCTGTCTGAGGCTGTTTTGATGTGTTTAGTTCTGGAGAGAAAGAACAAAATCAGTATTCCCATATTAAATTTGCAACCATGATTTCTTTTTAAGCATAGCATTCTTCCTCTTCCCTTGCAAGAGCATTGGATGAATAGGCCCCCTTTTTATTTGTGCTTGGATACTTGCAGTGTTCTTTAAAAAGTGGAAAAGAGGAGGCCTTGTCCATCTGTAGGTTTGTCTGCTTTTCTGTGTCATTCCACACGTGTTTTAGTTTGCTCTTTAACTGGAGTTTTTCTCATCTGACTGTTTCTCATGTTACTTTTATTTGTATAATAATTGCAGTAGGCTGTATACAAACATACAGTGAGGTCTAGCCTTTGCACTGGAAGTTTGCAGTCTAAATAGGAAGGTGGAGGACAGAAATGGAGCTGGACACAGAGACAGAGATCTAAGTCAATTTACAGGGGAAGCACTGACACACAGTTTCAGTTTATGTCAGGTTTTAAGCCCAGGGCTTTACCTACCATTTGGTACCACCTTTCTTTTTCGTATATTTCATAGTGTTTAAGTAGAGCTATGTTTGAGATTTCTGCTGAAATCTCTGTGTAATGCAGAAATTTCACTCTGAAACCCAGGCTGACCCCTTTGTACTCTGAAAACGGAATCAGTATTGCCTACCAAGCACTGAAGTATGAAATTGTTCATTTCAATTAAACTATCTCAGTACTCATGAAGCCACCTATGCCTGCATTGGACAGATGATCTTCTCTGAAAGCCAGCAGAACAATGCCAGCTCCCCTCGTCATTAATGAAGAAGTAGCAGTAATGGAAATTTAAAATTAAACCCCTTTGCTCTTAGTATTTATTAGTATAAATGCTTTTAGAGAATGGACTACTCTTTTTAGTCTCTGCTACGATCATTAAATGAGTGTTCAGGAGAAGGGGCTGTAGGCAAGTTGCCATATACTAACCTTATGGTTAAATATTGTTTTAATTTCTTTACTGATTATGTTTCAAGAGATGTTCCTTGCTTTTGTGTGGTGTTGTCAGTAGAGAAAAGCTTTTCCCAATGAGAAAGAAAGGTCCTTTCCTCTACTTGACAGAGTTACCACAGTGCCAGAGTCTGTGAAGTTAATGTGGATTTGTAAAATTCAGGATGTGTATGAGCATCTGGAGTGTTGGCTTCTGTCTTAGTAATACCTTTGTATGTAGCAGTTCATTAATCTGCTGGATTTTTTAAATAAAAACAGAGAACAGCCCTTTTCCTTCTCAAAACTGTGTTCTAAGAGATATGTCTGTTCCTTGTTCCAGGCAGTTGCAAAAGACTTGAGGTTCAGATGGAAAAAGCTGTGTTAGTCTCAAAGCCATTTCCAGCGTTCAGTCATAACTATTTCTGTCTTAAACTGGGAGAAAAAGATGTTCTTGTTGATGCTCTCAAACAGGAACTTAAAACCTAACTTAAACCTCTGTGCTGTAATGTGGAAGTGTAGAGGAGGACTTCCTGTGCACAAGACTCTCTCAAATTGCCCTTATTTATCATTTGGCTCATTTGTTCTGACATGCTGGATAATTTTTTTGAAGTACTTTTTCCAGTCAATAGGAATCATTTGAACTTCACCGTTTTGGTTTTTTTTTTTTTCCCCCTTCTCCTTTTTCTTGTAGTGATATTTACCTAAACATAGACCCTCCTTCAGGGATAAATATATGATCTTAACAGGGGAATCAACATGTGCAAACTGTGGCTTGGACCCCATTTCTACAATTTATGAAAGAGGTTTTTTAACCAACAGGATGCTTAGTAGGGAGAGAGGATGTCCCTAAGAGAAGGAAAGGCTCTAACTAGCGTGCTCTGACTCTGCTGCTGTCTTGCAGATATAGCTGATGTTAACCTTGGCTACTGTAGTGCACTGTAGTATTGTTTTTCCTCTAAATGCAGATATTTTCCTGATATTTCTTTAAAGTATTTAAAGATAAAAGGCACAGCTTTAGCCCATTCTTAGGCCTATTCTTGCTCTTTAATCCTGAGTTAACTGCTGTGATGGAGTGGATATACCTTCTTTTGTAAAAGATAGATTAGAAATTTTAGCTCCCAAATTGCTGGTTCAGCAAGAAAAGAAAAATACGGTCATGGCAGCAACTTTGCCCTTGGTGATTTCATATCTATGCTGGTGTCAGGAAACCGGTATGTGGGAAGACAAATCTTTTAAGTCACTTTTGGTGTCAATTTTGAGTCTTTTGAGGGGCCAGATTTGGATTTTTACTTCTCATGGCTGTTGATGCACTCAGCAAAACAGAAGTTGGTGTTCTCTGATGACATGCCAGCATGCCCTGACCTGTCCCCATGCTAGGAAAGGGAAGGATCCACAAACTTCCCCTAGGTACAAGTCCTACACCCTCCAGACTGCTCTATAACAGGAGGACTTAGCTGGTGCTTGTGGTTTAATTGCAGCCCCTTTTTCCTCTGAGTTAAAAGGGTCTCCATGCAGTGCTCATCAAAGCATCATGTCTTTCTTCTCATCTTTTATTATTCAGTGAAAAGCGTGTGTGTGTTTAGGAATATAAGCTTTGATTTTGAGATATCTTGACCTAGCTTGGTATTCCAAAGATAAGGACATACAGAAGAGTGCTTTGCTCCAGATTTGTGTGCCCCAGAACTGGAAAAGAAAACAATCCCTACATTTTTTACCTTTGGAAATTATCTTTCTGTTCACAATCAGTCTCTCAAAGAAAAACAGCTCCTGGCATCTGTGAACTAGACAACACTGATACGGTTGCATTTTTCTAGTTGTTGCGGTAGAGCAGTCTGAAGCTGCAAATACCTGACAGTTGCATTTACCTGACCCCATGCCTGGTGTTGTTCTCAGGTTCCCAGAGATAAAAGGCTGTTGTCTGTTAACAAAGTGAGTGATAATCAAGAAGACCAAGATAAAAGGTACAGTATTATTCAAAATCATACACCCAGCTACTAACAGTGTTGATCAGTTGTGAACTGAAGGAACTATGATAGCCTGAGGGTTTATGGTTTTCTTCCAAAAGATAAAAGAATGAAGAATGTTTTAGGAAGCAAACTTTACTTCTTTTTACTATTAATTTATTAGAAAAATTGAACAGTATTATTAAACATGCAATTTGCAAAGTAGCAGAAAGCTTCATGATTTGTTTGTGTTTCATTTTGTTGTTTTCCTGCTGCTGAGATTAGTAAAATCAGATTATATGGACAGTTGGCTGTTGGCTGCTTTTCTTTCAATTTTCTTCTTCTAGAGCAAAAAGTGAGTAGTTTGGCCTCAGTAACCTGATTTATACAGTTTTATTTAACATAACTTAGGGTCTGCCCAGAAGCAAATAAAGTAACTCTTAAAATCATTTGCTCAGAATGTTTTTCTCACTGCTCTCAGATTTCAGCCCTCCTCTGTAGGCCAGAAGTGACTTGAAGAGTCAGAGGAAGCTGACTCCTGCCTTTATTAAGACTTGTGAACAAGAGGGAGTGTATATTTATGTAGAAAGAACTAAGTTGTAGAAAGAACTAAGACGGTATCTTCGTGTAAAATTATAGTGGAGAGTAGCTACACAAGGTTTATTTCAAGGTAGCTAATTCGGGACAGCCTTAGATGGTCTCCACTAGCTGTGTAAGGTGAAAGTTTAAATAGGTAGTAGTATAAATTCACTATTTCAAAACAGAATATGAAACTTTTTTTGAGGGACAGTTTTTCTTCTGTGAACGCCAGAGAAATTCCTAAGTTGAGTGTGATTGACAAAACTGGCCTTCGGTGGAAAGCCAAGAGAGAGGAACTGTAATGTCAGAACATATCTCCTAGGTTGAAAACAAAGCTGTGTGTTACACCTACTAGAAGTTTTATGAGTTAACAATTTTATGTCAGTGCAACTACTGTTGGCGATCAGATTGCTTTCAACAGCAACCGTGGTTAGATGTGGGAATGCTGCTGGAGGTTACCTTGCAGCCGCTATAGTTACTGATCTACTCTGATACAATGGGTTTCCTGGGCTTGCTGTTTCAGAAGAGCATTGGTACCAGAGTTACACAAACAGTAGTGGCCTGTCAACAGCCTGAAAGAGCTTGCATCAGCGTATGAATTTTGCTGTTGATATTCTGCCTATTTCACATGCAAATTACCTACTGTGAGTAATCCATATTTATGCTTATTTTGTGCCTAAAGGCTGTTGCACTGGTGGATTGATTTTGCATCCAAATTAAAAGTCAAGGCAAAAACAACCCCGGATACCCAGAATTTATTGTAACAAGTCATACTGATTATAGGTCAAATCAAATGTATTATTTTTCCCTAGCTGTTAAAGAGCTCTGGACCTCTCTGCTTGCCTCACGATGTCTTTTCCCTAGTATTTGTTAATGTACTACTTCCTATGGCAATGGCTTATCAGAGTTGAAAGATCTCCTTCCCTGCCATCTAAGAACATTAATCTATTTAAGGAGGAGATTTACTCTATCAGGACAGTTCATAACATTTTTTGGTTTTGTCTCACAGAAATTGTCTTAATACCACGGAAGCTCAGAGTAATTTAAGTGGGGGAGAGAACCGCGTGCAAGTCCTGAAGACAGTGCCGGTTAACCTTTCCTTGAACCAAGATCCTTTGGAGTCGTCCAAAAGGGAATACAACACAAATGTGTCTGGGAGCTCGACCCCCATCACGGGGACTGGAGTGACTGTGGTTAAAGCGGAGGAGTTCACCCCTGTTTTTATGACCCCACAAGCACACTATGCGAGAGGAGAAAATGAGGAGCATCGAGGGGTTATCTTTGAACCATATGAAGTGTCCAACATTGCTCCCCACACAAATTATCTCAAAGACGACCAGCGCAGTACTCCTGACAGTACGTACAGTGACACCTTCAAAGATGGAGGAACAGAAGTAAGTTTTTCACCTCAAATTAGCATCTAAAAACTCAATAAAAAGCTGTAAACAAGATAGGGAGATTTGAGCTGTACACAAGAGCCATTAAAAGAACAGTGATGCTTGTTTCAACAAATTCATCTCTGCTGCTTGCTGTGTTCCTGTCGGTCTGTGCTCTGATTATAGGGGAGCATCATGAGGTGTTTCAGAAGACAGTTTTAAAGTTGTTTATTGGAAACTCTGAGAATAATAGATACTGATCTTTTGTCTTCTGGGATATTTTGTCAAGTAGAGGATAGTTGCCATTCTGAAAGAAGATCTGTTATCTGTTAACAAGATCTGCCTTCAGACCTATTCATAACAGTAAGAAATAGCAGCCACTTGTAACTGGGAAATTCTTAATGTTCTCCTGAAAGTGCAGATGAGCGGTGTCAGTCTCTGCTGCTAGATAAATCCAAGTAATTTATTCAGAAGCTGTCTGTTTCACTAAGCTCTACTTTGTAACATGGGCAAGCGAGGAAAAACTAAAATTAGGTGACTAGGGCGGAATGTAGAAGTTAACAGGCAGGGAAAGACTCAGGTGCATGTGTATGTAGGGCAATGAGGAGGAGAAGAGAGGCAAGGAACTGCCTTGTAACTATTTTACACTGTTATGCTGAGGCAAAGTAATTACAAAGTCAGCTTTAATATGGTGAGTACCCTCTGGCTGCTTTTGCCTGCTGCAGAATAATGCAAACAAGCCAGAAATGTGGAAGGGTAAAAATTACTTAAAGCTGACAGTACCTCTGCAAATAATTAGAGATATTAGGTGGTAAAACTCTCCTTGGATTTTCTCCTCCAACTCTATGAAACTGTAAATGTAACAAAAGTACAAGGCAAGCTACATTAAGGCTGAGTTACTCTGAGTATATAAGAAATGTACTGTGTGTTTGTGTAGGTGTATTATAGAAAAGTAAATTGTCTCCACACAAGCATCACAGATCAGGACGTCTGGAGGTGAAATGCATTTTCAGATATAGAACACATTTAGGTCAACTAAATGAATAATTAATGAAGAAATCTAGCTTGCCATTGAAAAATCAGTAAGATCAAATCTTGGATTACAAACACTGCTCTGCATTAGCAAATCACGTAATTTCAGCTATTTTTCATTGTTCCTGCTAAATGGCTTTTTATGGTAGTCCAGTGGTACCGTACCCATGGCTTTCCCTGGGGTGCTGTAGCTGAGTGATTCCATTACGCTGGTTTGTACGCGCTGCTGAGAGCTACCCAAACAGTCCGCTCTGTGCAAAGTGCTGTTGAATGTAAGAAGTTGTTCAATTTGGAAGTAAAAAGGGAATTTACATCTATACGTTGGCCTTGCATCCCAAACTCCATGTTATGGTAATTTTTGTTGCAATGGTAATATTTTGCATCCCAAACTCTATGGTATGGTAATTTTGTTACAATGGTAATATTTTGTTACATATTTTTTAAAAGGAATTGGTTAATAACAGTGTATGATACTTGTCATCTATCTCCACATCTCCGCAGTCTGTGGAGAAAGAGGCAACTCAAACCCGATTGCCAAGAAGGGGTGGAAGGGTTTGCCAGGTGCACTCACTCCTCTCCATCTTCACTTCCCCTATTAACAGTACAGGGAGACCGAAGAACTAACTTTAACTGGGTTCCCATCTGTAGCTGTTAGGTGAGGTGTGTGCCACTGTTAGTGGCCTTCCGGCCCCAAATGCTTGCACACATGTGGCATGGGAGCAGGGAGAGCTTTCCCACCCTGCTGTAGCCTCACTCAACACTTACCCTGTCCCTTCGTTTTTCTCAACTACCCAAATCCAGGGATGTGCTTCACCCCTGCGGTGCTCTGACTGCTTCTTCAGCCATGTGCTGTTGTGTAGGGACAGCTGTATGAAGCAAGTGTGGGGAGAGCATAAGGTAAAATGTCAAAACATACCAAAAGAGAAACTTGTGCTAAATTAGTGTTTAAAGTAGGAATACAGTTGGTCTTACTAGTTTTCATATTCACTTGTTGAGAATGGCTGGGTTTGGCTGCAGTTGATTTGCTCTGATACCTGCTCAATTTTAAACATATTATGAATACATATTTAGAAATTGTTTCAAAACATTTATTGAGTGACTTAGTTCTGTTATACTGAAGGAGTGCTGAGTTTTTATAGATCCCTGTGGTAGTGGAGGCCTCAGTCAATCACTTGCTATGTTCTTTGGATACAATTTTAACAATTATATAAATACACCTTTCTCATCTCTTTCATATTCTTATTTAGCTGTGATTAATTTATTAGTCCTTTATAGTATAGACAAAATTTTGGAGGATAGGAAAGTAAATTGAATGTTTTTGAAAATGTCAACCTCTAGCCTTCATACAAAATGTGACTAGCATGTTAATATGGGACCATCTTTATTGTAATACCCCTCAGATGTTAGATTTCTTGGAGTATTTCGCTTATCTATTCTATTGCTCATGGGTCCTTGACTTTTGATCTTCAGGAAACATTCCTAACCAGTACACGATACCTTTGCACTTAACTAGTATCTGACTAGATATTTGTTGTGGCACAGTTGTGCATAAGGTAAAATTAAAAACTGTTTTCAAAATTGCCTGACTTGACACTTCTGGAAACAAAACAGGTTTTAATTGCTAACTGGTGATCACAAAAGAAATCCTGGAGATTAAGTGTAATGATCCATCAGTGAATCAGAGAGACATCAGCAAAAACATGTTTCAGGCAAAAGGCAAGCCAAGAAGAAGCAGCAAGGCTTACATAGTAGAGCACAAACAGGCTCATTTGCTCAGGAAAACAGAGTACAAATCCTTGCTTAGTCTGTGCAAAAAGACTTCATTTTTTTCAGAATGCCACCTTTTGATGTAATTTTTTTTTGATAGATGTGTCTTCATTTTGTAAAGAGTGACTGTAGGTCTCCTTTCATATTTTCATATTTTAGCAAATATGAAATATTTGCTAAAATATGAAATATAAAATATTTCATATTTTAGCAAAAGTGTGCATTTTGCTAAAACAGAATCTTATATTGAAAGTAAAATACTTTCTTAGCCTGCGTCACCATGCCTATTCAAAATAGGCAGTATAGCAATCTAATTTTTTATCAGCATTTCATTGTAGGTCTTAAGGAGAGCTGACTGCACACATATTTTTAAATAAAGCAAAACAAAACAAAAAGTGAAGTCTCTAGGAAAACTATGGTTTCATTTGAAAATCTACTTATCTTTGAGATGGGGTACATTTTTACAGGCTTGTTTTAGAATATATTAATGTGTAGGCAAGGAGTTTAATAAGGCAGAAGATGTTTTTCAGCTACATTGCTGTAGCAATTAGGTTATGAAAAACTCTAAAAGCTTGACATAAATGAATTATCTCTGTCAATTCCAGTGTAAAGACCATGTAGCATCCACTCCAGTTTTTAGGGATTTTGAGTTTTAAATGGTTGATGGTTTCTTCTGAGGGGTCCTTAAAGAAACATAATTCTACTTTTGTTGGTATTTTCATTAGATTGTATCAAACTATATTTAATTGTTGTTTTTATTTTTCAGAAGTATCGCAGTGTGTCAGTGGGGGCTGAAGAATATATTTACGAACAAACAAGGTATGGCATAAGCTTTGAAATGTGTTGACTGGCATCACATAAGAATGTATTGAGGAGAGGCTGCCTGTGTCCACTTCGCACCCTCCCTTTCATCCTTTTACCCACCCTCCCCCCAGCCCTGGGGCACCTGCAGGGCTCCCTTGGAGCTGCCCAGCAGCACTCTCCTCTTCTTCTCCTGCACATATTACGCTTTCAAATCTGACCAGTTTATATCTTCATCTATTATCTTCCCCCAGCATTGTTTTAAGTTAGTAACTCCTCTGAAGCCCCTGGAGATATGCGAGATTAAACATGTTAAGAGAGGTCCCCCAGGTAACAGGGCACAGCTTTGACAGCCAGGTCATGGAAGGTCTTCCCCACCTTTCAGGATGGCAGGATGCACAAGTCAGATGTCCAGGATGGTTGAACTGGCTCCACCAACCTTATGGAATTCCCATCTTTATTTTTCCCTTCTATTTTTTCTAGTTACTCCTAGCAGGTTGTCTGGGAAACCCTGTCTTTTTACACTGTTCATTGTGGTAGTTCATGTTTACTTATAAAATAATATAAATGAAGTACCTATTACAAACCATGTAAGAAAACCTAAGAATTCCAAAAAGTTTTTAAAAAAGTTTCAAAAACTGACGTATGAAAGGAATAGTGTCTTCCCTGCTAAGCACAGAAAAATGCATGTGTAGAATGGGCAAACACTGCAGTCACTTAACTAATAAAGACTGTGATCAGTAAAATTTATAAGCTGATGCATCATTTCATGCCTGTGAATAGTTCTGTTTATATCTGAGAGATTACTCTCACTTTAGAAACAGGAACATGCCTACATATTTTTCCTGGAGTAGGCATATGACTGCTTCTGTAGTGGAGGTTCCTTACAGCTTGATCTTTTTTCTGAGCTATATTAAAACAATCATTAACTGCAGCGAGCTGAGAACTGAGTTATTACATAGGCAGTACATATGAAACAGAAATTTAGCAAAGACTGTTCACTTACTACACTGGATATTTATAAAATTGAATCCTGAAGCACTGGCATTGTTAACAATTCTCAGACATTAAGTCTTTCATGCTGTGGCCCAGGTCCACATTAGAACAAAACCTCCAAATGCACATTAAGAAAAACGAAATACATCTTTCCTGGGAGTTACCTGGAAGTGATAGGTGCTCAGAAATGAAAGCTTCAGATTGAAAAAAAGAAGTGGTGAATATGAAACTAATTGGAAGCCTGATAGAAGATCCCTTAACGACTACATGGGGCTTTAGTTAAGACTCATGGTGAGATTCAGAATAGTATTATAATCATTCGAGTGACTGCAATAAGTTTTAAGGGTAATAGTAATCCTCCTGCTATGGGGCACACTTTGATTGCCAGCTGGGAACAAGAAGAAAATTCCCAAGTGGTACCACACAGAGGCTGCAAAAGTGGCCAGGAGCAGTGTGTCTGGGGTTTGCATTTTTTGACATCTTTCTGAAACATACAGAATGACAGGAAACAGAAGACCAGACCGTGGCAGACTGTAGGCAACTCTGTTAAGACACTGTATGTCTGCCTTTGGTTCATCCTAAGCCCTTCTCAGCACACATTCTCATTAGGCCTTCTGTCCGGTGGGAGGTTTTGAGGTGCACCTCCCAGGGCACTCAGTGTGCTTTGGTGCACATCGTGCAGCAGTCTCGCAGCATGCAATCTGCAGTCCCTTTGTGTGACACTAAATCAGAGGATGTGCCCCCACCACTAAGGGCGGTCAATCCACAGGACAAGCATATGCAGCGGGATGGATGCTGGGTCCGCAGCACCAGTGATTCTGTTTTTCCAGTCCGCTCGGACGGGGCCGTTCTGCTTGCCAGTGTCGACAGAGCCTCTGTTCCCCTTGCACACAGGACAGAGGGACTGCGGCAGTGCACACCATGGTGGGTGGCAGCGGAGGGGACCACAGTCCCCTTTGTGCTGCCTTTCCACTGTGCGTGAGAGCCTTTGTGTCAGCAGCAACTGCATTGTTGGGAAGTGCTGGTACTGCCATCAGTGGGTCGGATAGGTATAGGTTAGTGTTTGCTTTTTACCTTACTTTTGCTTTGATTTGTAACTTTTAAGCAACTAGAAAAATAACGGGATTTCCATTTATAAGCTAAGAAACACTTAGAAATTGTCTTTATTTGATTGAATGATTGATACTAAACTAAATAATTGATACTAAACTGTCTGAAACTTCTTCGTTTGGATGGAAAGACGTGGATCAGGTTATTTTTTTTTCTTCTACCTTCTCTTCAAGTGAGGATTTAAATGTTGTTATTCATGCAGTTTTGTGATTTTTTTTTTTTTTTTCCCCATTGGATAGTTAAAAATGTTTTTTTCTTCCCCTTATTTCCATATTGCTATGGCAGTGTTATGATGACCCAGAGTATTTGCTTGACCTAGAAAGTTAAGGATACACTGTTGTTTTGGACCAACATATTCATCCTTTTGGTTCTACTCCAGCACTGCTTAAACACTTTGCTGAATTAGGACCTTTGTGAAAATGCTTCCCCTGTATCTCCAATTTGTGAGGACATCCTGCAAGTGACTCCCTGCATTAAGCTTCCTGTGGTGACCAAATGCAGTTTGAAGAGAAGATTTATTCTGTAAGGTTAACATTATTTTTCATTTAAGAGAATGTGAGGAGCTGCAGGCATCATTTTTATTGGATTATTGTTCAAGCCCGTTATTGGAGGAGGCGGCTGGAAGAGGCTCTGTGAGAATTGTGTTCAGCGAACAGTTCACTGGCTAATGGAGCTTTAACTTTTCATGGTTTGGGAACTGCTTTGAGGGTGGAAAGTTCTCCTGTGAAGGAGGATCTTTTGAAAGATCTGACTTCCAACACAAGAGCAAACTTTCTCTAATTTTTGTCTTTTTCTAAGGGAGGTTACTTGATTGCAGATACAACTAAATGTACGTACTTTGTTCTGTCTGATTAATTTTGAAAAGAAGGCTTGTAAAAACCTTGATTGCACGTTGTCTTTAAACAAATGATCCTACTGTCCCTTCTGGTTGTATTCCTTCTCTGCCCTGTGCTGAAAGTAGCAGTTGGCCTTTCCATTCTCTGTGTCCATCTTTTGCAACAAGTTTTATTCTAGTTTTTTTGTTTGTTTGTCTTGTTTTGTTTTAATTTCTCTTTCTGTGACACTTCTAAGTTTAAGTGTCTGTGGAGGTAGCTGATTTCCTGCAAATCATACTGAATTCCCTCCTGGCATTTGACACTCACTGTAGGGTACGTAGTCTTGTACTTCATGATGGTTCTTTTCAGAGAAAGTAAAGATGTAGTCTTTGCTCCAAGAGACTTTACAGTCCAGATAGTTTCATGCTTGATTGCCAGATCTGATGAACTTGGGGAAAAAAAAAAAAAAAAAATTACATTTTTAAATACCTGTGTGACCTTTTCCTGGAATTTTATTATTAGCTTCTTATGCCTTGCTTATACAATGCATGAAATACATAATAAACGGGGACAAAGAGAAAAGGAGAAAGTGATATGGATTTTGTTGGTGTTTCTCTCCCTGTCTTTTCAGCAGCACTTTTCAGTATACACTAGAAGCTACCAAATCTCTGCGTCAAAAGCAAGGGGAGGGGCCCATGACCTACTTGAACAAAGGACAGTTCTACGCCATCACCCTGAGCGAGACGGGTGACAACAAATGTTTCCGGCATCCCATCAGCAAAGTCAGGGTATAGTCCAATTTCTTTCCTAGATGGGAATGGAGGTCTGCAGATAAATGTAGTTGTGGTTGGCTGGTTTTTAATTATTTTTTTTCTTGTGGGAGAGGACAGAGCAAGCTTACTCTTATGCCCAGTGTAAAAGTGGGAGAGTAGTATTGATGGTGGTCTCAAATATTTTGGTGTCCAGTTTTTTCAAAGTGTGATCTTATGAGTTAATTATATACATATATGCCTCAGTTTATAGTTTGGCAGAATGGTAATTGCACAGATACTGCACTTGACATTGGTGAACATATCACTGCCATGATTAAAGAAAAAAAATTTACTGTGTTAAGTCCATCTTCACTCACTTGTGCAATTCATCAGCTGCTTTCCAGTGCATTTCAGATAAAATGTGAAGAGTTGAAGCCTTCCTTTGTGACATAAATTTTAAATCATTTACATGGTATAAGTGTGAGCTTTCACTTGATATTCACCCAGAAGTATGACAAAATGGATGATTTGCATCTTAGATTCATAGAATTGTAGAATCATAGAATAGTTTGGGTTGGAAGGGACCTCTAAAGGTCACCTAGTCCAAACCTGCTGCCGTGGGCAGGAACATCTTCAACTAGATCAGCTTGCTCAGAGCCCCGTCCAACCTGACCTTGAATGTCTCCAGGGA